TCTTAGAACAAGTGTCACACTCTTGTAGATGGACAGTCAAAAATATTTGTTTCAAGCTGTCCTTACATTAACTCTAATTTCAAATAAAACAACACAAACATGTTTTAACAATGACGACATTTTAGGCCGGAGAAGCACATAATAAAATCTTTGAAAAGTCTTACCTCCAGATCAGCTCTCATAATCCTCCTGCTTCACACTGTGTGTCCTCTTCTCCTGTAACTGTCCTGTGTCCTGTTACATTTGAATTTTCCCTCCAAAAGTTTTGGGGAGGAGAATTCCAGAGGGAGGAGCCTCACCAGAGATTATAATAAAGTCATGTTTCCTCAACCTGATTAAAACATGCAGGTCTCACATCGGCCACAATCAAGCGATGTTTGTAAGATTTAAACATGCTTGACAGAGAAACGTAAAAAAGTGATGTTACTGTTGTCAAATTTGTTTTTGCAATTTGAGCAACCCCTCGCGGACCGTTTTTTCAGTGTACAAATTGTCTAATTTGTTTATACTGATACAATTTGTCCAGTGGTGGAAGGTAATGAAGTACAAGTAGTAAAGTGCTGTACTTAAGCAGAATGCTTAGGTGCCTGTACTTTACTTTTACAGTGGATACTTTTTACTTTTACTTCACTACATTTGAGAACAAGTATCTGTATTATTATACCAATAACTTTTTTTAACTGGATTGAAAAGTAAAAAATACTTTTTATTTGATCTGGGTGGTCATTTTCTCCATGTTTGTGGCAATATCCAGACTAAGGTGTTCAGTCAAAGCTTCGGTTCTCAGAGAATAAAAATAAATACACAAAATTCAAGAATTTGATAAAAAATTGATAAAATGACCAATATCACTATACATAAATTAATGAACAACACTTGAAATAGGTGAAGTACTTTTTACTCTGGAAGTACATTTTTAAACAAGTACTTTATTACTTATACTTGAGTATAATAGTCCAGTGAGGTTCATTTGGTCTTCTGATATTTTATGTTATTAAGTTCTTTTTTCAGACCAAGAATTTGTTTTCATACCTGACAGTTTCGACTGCTCACTATCTGTCTTCCTCAGAGTGGTCATGTGATGTTGCTGTGACGTGCTCGGTCAGCTGATTTATACAGGTTTTGTATTCCTGTATTCCTACTGGTGGAGACAGGATGACAGTGCCTTCTGCAGTCCGACTTCCTCAGGACAGTATCCCAGGGGTGTGAGAGTAAAAAAGTCCCCTCGTCCCGGTTTATCGTCCCATGGGCACGTTTCCTTATTTCGATTGCCTCTTAATCCAGCGATGGTGTTTGTTTTCCTCTGTCCCAATGATGATTGCTCCATCCCAGCTGAAATACGGAAACGTGCCCACAGGACTATAAACGGGGACGAGGGGGCTTTTTTACTCTTACACACCTGGGATACTGTCCTGAGGACGTCGGACTGCAGAAGGAGCTGTCATCCTGCCTCCACCGGTAGGAAGACAGTGCCAAAACCTGTGTAAATCAGCTGACTGGACACGTCACAGTAACATCACGTGACCACTCTGAGGAAGACCACTAGTGAGCAGTCAAAACTGTCAGGTATGAAAACAAACTCTTGATCTGAAAAAACTACCTAATAACATATTTTACTTGAGTATCTTATTCAAGTGATGCTCTTACTTGAGTAACTTTTTTCTCTTTTATCTGTACTTTTACTTAAGTGGCAAAATTGAGTACTTCTTCCACCACTGCGTTTTTCACTTTCAATATAGGAGACATAGAGAGATTTATCTGAAATAGCCACTGATGCAGCCTACTTAAGCATCAAATGTATTTTCAAGTAGAAGTAGAAGAAAATAATTCCTACCAACCACTCACAGAAGGACAATTCCAAAAGTACATCACATATTACTGCCCACCTCTAGCACAAGGCCAAGAAACACAGGTATTTTACTCCTTAATTTCATTAGGCTCTCCCAGTCCTTCAAGCCATTTCAAATGAAGAGCTAAAAGCCAGGCGTAAGCTTAAATGATAACATTCTTTCAAGGGATAAAAATACACATGTACGAATCAAAGCTATTGTACTATCCTTATTATTATCCACCAGCCGAGGGCCCTGTTCCAATTAAAGAGAACCACAGAAGGGCCGTAGAACAAGCATGCACCCAAACCAATGAGTCTACAATAGGTAAAGTAAAGTACCCCATATTATCGGCCTAGAGAGGAGCTTTCTACTTTAAAAACTATTTAATCAGGAAAATCAACGCCCCAGATCAAAGCTATGGAGATGAGGGACAGGCGGATAAAGCTTCATCACAGCAGATATAGTTAGGGCTTCTCCGCACTAATTCCCTTTCTCTTAAACCTTCGTCAGAGGGGGCACGGGGCCAATTTGCTCCTAAATGACTGCATGTGAACGTGTAGATTACTTTGCATAGCCACTGGGGATCTGGGCTTCCTCAGTCTCCTCTTCTTCCTCACATCTAGGCCTGTGAATTAGAAGAGATTCAGCGACAGATAGGCTTAGCGCATTTGCAGCTACCTTTGCTTAAGTCCAAAGCACAGATCAAACTTACAACTAAGAGCTCATCTCAATTAATATACTTTAGTGTGGCGTATGGCTTTATCAGGTCTTACTCCGAAGACTGGGGCTTCAATTAGTGATCCGGGGTAAGAGCTGAGAAAAGGGTTCAGTGTAGCTCAACTTTAAGACAGACTAAGCGCATTTGTTCTGTTGGTTTGAATCTCGTTTTAAATTATTTTGCTTGTGCTCTAAGATAAGATAAGATTAAATAAGATGAGATACACCTTTATTTGTCCCAACAATGGGGAAATTACAGTCTTACAGTTCAAATAAAAGCAGGAGAATAAGAACATGCAATCAAAATCAAGATAAATAACTATTAAAGGACTTCACAATAGACATACACACACAACAGGAACAAAACAGTTAAAGTGACTTCAGAACTGGGGCTCTCTGAGGTTTGCTTTTAAATGTTAAGTGATTGTTGTAGGCTTTTTGTTGGACCAAAACATGGGCCCTCAACTACCGGTAGTACTTTTGTAGAACTCACATGAAATAATTGAAATTGCCTTTCTTGATAACATTTTATAATATTGGTACATGAGTTAATGCCTTAACAACAAGGCTTTCAAATTTAGGGAGTACTAACACAACTGCAACACAAACACAAAGTATATCACCATATCACCAAGGCTGCAAATATTACAGAGAACACTTTCCTGTAGTAGAATTGGTGACTGTAAAATGTCCCCCACAGAATGCATGTGAGAGCTGGTTTCCTGGCACTGTATTATTAGAATAATATAATCATAATAATAATTATAAGAATATAATCAGTCCACAGTCCACCTAATATCTGCAGCATCACATATGGACAGTGCTGGAATGTAATGAAGTACAAGTAGTAAAGTACTAGTCGTAGTAAGTAAAAGTTTTAGTACATTTTAAAGTAAGGATATTTTTTTCTTTTATTTCACAACATTTGAGAACAAGAATATGTACTTTCTACTCCACTACATTTTTTAACTAGACTGAAAAGTAAAAGTATTTTTATTAATGTTTGAGACCTCCTGAAAAGGTTGAGGCTGATTTTATTTATTTATTAAATGTTCTGAGCAAACAAAATATAGGCTATAAAAATTCTGATGATTCAGTTGTTTCTGTTAAACATTTTTAAAATCAAAATCAGTATATTTGAAACTTTATAAGACTTGAAAAAATGCATGTACTACTTTTACTTTTTACTCTTGAAGTACATTTTAACATGGGTACTTTTACGTAAGCAGATTTTTTTTTCAAGTGATACTTTTACTTATTTTGTTGTTCCAGTATCAAAATGTTTACTTGAGTAATAAAATTGGTTACTTTCACCACTCCACCACTGCATATGAATAAACATTAACACCTTAGTTTCACGTAGTCATCTTTATAACAAACAGTTGCAGACATTGTCTTCATTCTTTCTTCCTTACAGCTCTTTGTTACAGAATGGCATATATTAAAATGTCCTTGATGTGAGAGCCCCTTCACACTGTTCTCTATATTTTATATAATGTCAAACCAATCATCATTGCATATTTGAACCCTGACCCAACTTTCCATGAGTCCCGCGGTACCAGCTCTAGTACTTCTATATATGCGTGCAATTCATTAATTTCGGCCTTGCATTATCATCAAGGACGCCGCACATCTATTCAATAGGTGTGCGTGGGGGAAATAAAGATCCCATTGGTCAGTGGCATTAATAATTTAAAGTTCAATCCTCCAAATATTCTCCGGGACATACCTACGCCCGCTGAGGTCAGATATTTTACACTTTAATCCAGTCTGTTTGACGTAAATAATAATCTCATCTATGTATGGGCCGATGTATAAGTGTGTCTGCCTTCTTCATCTCTCCAATAGGCTTTCTATCATGCCTGGAGATGCAATTGATCTGCAATCAGCAATTAAGCCCCAGTGATCAGAGTGAAGGAGAAGGGAGAGGGGAGGAAGTCAACCCCCCCACGCTCGTCTTGTGTCAGCCCGGGAAAGGCTTCACTCAGCTGGGGTGCGTTTGGCCCGCGGCTGGGCTCACTGGTGGAGGTTAACTCCGGCATAAATAAGCATCTTTGGACTCATTACAGGGATTAGAGAGTAATTCGCCTGCGAGGAAGGAGCAGGCTGCCAGGGTTTTGGTACAGTTTACTACAGTCTTATAGGGGCGAGCACCCTAGAGATTATTACAGGGGGAGGGAGAGAGAGAGGGTCTGTCTGTCAAGAGAGAGAGTGAGAGTCAATCCACGCCCCTGGCTGGCCCTTGATCTGCAGCATGTTGGGCTGCTGTGAAAACGGATAATAGGAGTTAGAACGACCAGGGCCTAGACTATGCACGAGAGGGCCGCTCTGATTGTACCAACTTTTCCCTCATCTAGGCACTTAGCTAAACAAACACCCAAGAGGTAGCACTCTATCAATTTTAATGATGTTGAAACACAATTTAGGCACAAAATACACAACAAATGCTAATTCGGTCATGATGAGAGGCATCAGAAATTCCGCCCCATTATTTATTCAGTCGACTTTCTGCATTTTTCATCAGAACAAATATTCCCATTTCAACAAACACACACACAAGCACACAGAGAGCAAATTTGAAGCATAAATCAACAAGTTCACTCGTCAAATATGAGCAGGGTCTGGTCCGCCGCAGTGTCCATTGAGCTCTGGACTAACATCTGTCCAAAGTCCGGCCTCACAAATATACAGCCAGACAGTCAATATGCCCACATACATTAAACACAAGGTCAATGAGCTCAGGCACTAATACACTCTTATATACATAATCCATTTGTGCTTTGTTTACAAATGTACATTTTTCATTTTAAGGAAAAAAAGTACTTTATAGAAAAATCTAACCCGTATATGTAAAAAAAAAAATTCCACACTATGGCAATAAATGTAATGACAGTATTTTGCATTTATATAATTGCAGGTGTTTTTTCTTATAAAAATACCTTGAAAATCAGGTGAATCTACCCATATCTGACTTGTAACTTGTTGGCCTGTTAGTGTCTTGTTGAATGCCATATTGTGGAATATTCTAGATTAATCATAATTGTTTTCATAAGCTATTACAAAAAGTCAAATCAAATCAAAATCAAATATGCCAACTCACATCAAGTAATACCAGGCATTTCCCTTCCATGACTATAATTTATATCTGTGTCTGTTAAGCATTGTTATTTTTCATTCAGCATGAGGCATCTCTCCAAAATAGCTTCCTCGTCTAAACTGCCTCCTACACTGTGCGCATCACCGTTCTTCCACCTCCATGACGACGGGTGTGGGCTGCCCCGCTTCGGCTCCACATTTGGGACAGGTGAGGGAAGCGTCTGCGATGCTGTGACTTTTGACGCAGTAGTAACAGAAAACGTGCCTGCACCCAACACTGTGAGGCATCGTGGGCCATTCTCCACAAAACCCACACTTTCTCCACTCCACCTCTCCGCCCGTACTTTCATCCTTATTCATCATTCTACCAAAAATAGCAGAATAGACTGTTGATTTAATTTTGTGTGTATTTATCAATGGTAGAAAGTATATGAGGAATTCTGCAAAGCCATGCCATAGCAGCTCACGGTTCATGTACTGGTAGGAAATGTCGCGTACAACATTTGGTTTGCAAAAGACAGCCCTAGCCCCTACAATCCTCTCAGCCAAGACTGGATGCTGCCCCTTTTGCAAAAACACCAAAAAGTTGAAAAGACTGGCAAACTGGATGACACTGGATACGAAAGAGAAGCAGTTTCTTAGTCCATTTTTGACCGCGTCTCTCTGCGATCCTCCGGGACCCAATCCTAAAGCAACCAACAAATTATGTGAGCGTTCTTGGAGCCAGCGGGGCCCTGCGGAGAGAAAGGCCAACCCCAGCTTCTGCCTCCGGGACAGGGGCCGGTAGCGCGGAGAGGCAGAGAGTGAGCTGTGGTAGCGCACATTAAGAATAGATTGTCCCACTGTGGCGCTGTTGGGAAAGAGGGTGAACTTCCACAAGAGCAGGTGGAGGAGGGCTCTCAGCTCGGGCTCGGCGGGGGTGAGGAGGCCCGGTCGGAAATTCTGGAAGCACTGGGAGAACTGGGACCACATCAGCTCCTCCAGGGAAGAGTCCAGCTCCAGTGCGTCGAGCTGGCTGATCCGCAACACTGGATTTAACGCATCGGAAGTGGAATAGGCTGTGTTTTTCTCCTCGTCCCCTGAAAATAAAATAGAACAAACGCATGTCAGTTTATTAGATTTTATAGCCTTCTTGTTGATGAGGAAAGTCTAGATCAAAATCAAATTCATCTTCATTCTCAAAACCACAACTCGTAAAACTGCACGCCATCATTGCATGGGTGTTTGGCATGTGGTTTCACAGTAAATTGTTTTTTATGATGCACATTGTGTTTTTCTTGCAAATGCGAGATTTTGGGTAATGAAATGATGGTTTTATTGAGCTGTTGTTTGAGTGAGGCTGTGTTTCTATACAGTCCCGTGTCGATGAATGAGGAGATGGTGAAAAGTTCAATGCAAGTGTAAGCCAATTGATATAGTGAGTGTAAAATCATTCAACAAATTGTTAAATACAACGGTATATGTACTGGATCTATATTACATACAGTCAGAGTGTAGTCATTATTGTCTTTTTAGTGTAAAAAAAAATCAAACAAGCCCTTAGAGCATATAGACTTCAACCAGGGCACTCCCTCAATGCTCGTATCATTCTCTGATGTGCTTATAAACTTAAAGATCCTATATTATGTAAAATTGACTTGTGAGCTTTAAACCATGTTAGAATATTGTTACCTTATGAAAAACATACCTGGATTTGTGTTTTGTTTCATTCATATGTTTGGGTGATCCTGGTTTATTGGTCTGTCATCTCAAAAAGCTCTTTTCCACCTTTTAATGTCATGAAGTGGTAGAACCAGACTTATTCAAATGATTCTAGTGTCTGGATTTTAAAAACACAGTGGAATACTTCCTGTATTACCATCTGACATTACAAGGTTGAACAGTGCTTTCTGTTTGAGAGAACTCGGCCTAAATACCAGAATTGTTAAATATGTGTGAATAAAAAACACAACCCTGGATAGGATTTTGATGAGAAAACAACATTATAACATAAATCAGAAAATAACCTAATATGAGCCCTTTAATGATTGAGACTTTCACAACAATAGGTTTACTTAAGTGTTTCAACTATAAAAACAAAGGATGTCTTATGTTTAAAAATGAACTATAAATTTACCAGCAGAAACAATGTAAAACGCTGAGGACAATACTTGGAAATACCCTTTCAACAGCCCCCAATGTACAGCAAACTAATGTACACACTGGGACGAACTGCTAAAACCGCGGGTATGAGGCCCTGGAGGTGCAGCCCATCCTGTTAGCGAGGTTATTTTTCTTTATACCCACAAACGGAAATCACTTTTCACATGTAAAACCCATCCTAAATGCAACCTTTGAGCTGTGCAATGCAGACGAGCGGGGGGTCTTAGGCACACAGACACCAGCCAACACACATATGAGGGGTGCGCCTAAAGGTCCCCTCTGGAGATAGGCCTGTGTACAAATCACATCACCAGGGATTAGGCTAACGGCGGGGTCCATGCTTCACCGTAAATATCTGCAAAATGTGGAACTTTTTTTTATTCTAGAGCTGGCTATTGTGGCGTCCAGTTTGAAATACTCTCCAGTTTTATCTGCCCTCGAATGCTTAAGACTAACTAATAGCAGAGCGGTATAGGGCTGGGGTGATAGAGGGGACTTCTCCGCCAGTGGCTTTTGTGTCCTTCCCAACAGGATTTGTCATAAGGCTTTAAAAGAGATTTCAGCTGCGTAAATATGGCACTTTTGACAGAAAAAAGCACACATGATGGTCAACTTTGTCAAGTAGGTGGAAAGAAATAATATGCGGTGGCAATGGTTTAAAGCTTTATGGTGGTTCACAGGGGCATCTGCGTTTTCAAGATGCTTCAATAGAGCCTGGACACACCGTCCGACTAAGTTAGAATTAGCAAATGAATGAAAAGGGTGAATGCAAGCCACGCTAAGCAGGTGTGACAAATTTATTGAGCAGCTGCAATGTTTAGGATTGAAACTCGCCTGCAACGGAAGTACACTGAAGATTATATAAAAAGCCAAGATGTAGTTTGAATGGTAGAATCAAATATACTTTAAATAAACAGTGTACCTTCAGGGTTCTCCAGGTACTTTTGCAACATCTTAATGAAATTCAAGGTAGAATTTGCATCAGAGACGTTAAATTATTTATCAAGTTTTAATCAAAAGCATACATTTCAGTAATTACTCTAGCGGCGTCTCTCCTCTTCCTTTTGGTTTATTTTCTTGTCAAAGTGAATCAATTACCTCCATGCAGTTTAGTTTTAGTTTTTCTAAGTTCTGAATGGCAAAAAAGTAGAAAAGGCCTACAACTCTCTGTAACTGGATGTGTTGTTCCCAAATTACCTAAGAAAATTACTTAAGAACAATTGTTACAGGGTTACAGCTTTACCTTATACTTACAATGAATAGGCTAATTGATGTAATTGATTATGATCTGAAAAGGACATCTTGATTTTAACCTTTTTCCACTCTTTGCAAATTACTTTTAAATTAGAATTAAATAGTATTCGTGCCTCACTAGACTATACTGCACTATGGCCGTGCTCCACATAGTTGAAGAGGTAGACCGTAGCTTCCAAAAGGAAAAAGAGAAAGATGTATTTTTGTATATGAGAAGTATTAAGAATGAGTTCTGTTGTTGCATATTTTTAAAGGTTTACTGCCTTCATAGAAATTATTTGTTAATATCACATCATTTTATTTTATTTGCAAATATTAAATGGCTTTTACAAGTCGTACTCTCCGTCTATTGTACTCCATTGGCATAGTAGAGAGCCATGCACACACATACACACAGCAGGTAGTGGAAATCCCCATCACTACTACAGCAGCAGCAGCAGCAGCAGCAGCCCTCAGGAGAGTAAACCCGGCTGGGTCCAATATTCTTTTCAAAGCCTTTTATCGAGCAGTTTACAAGTTATGAATGAATATGTTTTATTTGGGGAAACACGGTATTGACAGCCACCTATCAATAGTAATGTGACTATTGTCAAGGGTGTGTCGATATTAATGTAATTATGATGTAGAGGGATCAGGGGGATGTCGGAGTCGGGGGCCAAGTAACATCTCCTGCCCACTGCCGTATCAATAGCCGGGATTGCTATTGACGGCTTGCCTTCAGACTTGCAGCACTTGCCAAATATATAACAAGCAGACACTTCAGTCAATGCCAAGCTGCCTATAAAAATTAAGCATTCGAATTTACAGCGCTTTTACCTTGGACAGCTGGAAATCCATGTTCCTTATGTAATAGTCAAAAGTCACAGTCAATGCCAGTGTTTACAGAATAGCGACACGGCAGATCTAATAGACAGTGGAGCATTTGCACACAGAATAAGGCAGGCAGGCTAAGATTGATGCCTCTCTCTCTCCCTCACAGCAATGCTCCACGAAAGGTGAAATATTGACTTGATAATACTCTTCTGGGTCATCCAACCAACTGAACTGGTGACAAAATGCCCTCTATTGGAAAGCCGGTGTCAGATAGGTTTTGTGAAATTCAATCAAAAATTATTAAAAAAAAGAAGTCAGGTCGCAGCGGTCATTCAGAAAAGCATGTAGCACTTTAACATACACTTTGCAGAAAATATTATAAAAGGTTTTCTTATTTGATTCAGGTCATGAGTCCGCTCCCCTTGTTCTCTCAGCCAGTGCATCTTGCTCACACAAAGATAACGCACTGACTCAAGGCTGACTGCCATAGCATACAGACAACAACAACAATATCCAATCTAACGCAGAACAAGCTACAAGATTGCTTCAAGGCAATGGGGCCACAACCAGTGTGAAGGAGGAGAGATGGGGAAACAATAGTACGCAGCGCATCTGACTTTTAGGGCCTACAAGATGTATGTGGGTTACACACAATATATAATGTAAAAAATGAATGGACATACAATTTTAGGGTTGTGAGATACTGGGAAAGTAAGAAAAATAAATATAACAATATATTGAAGAATTAACAACTATGCTAGATAACTTTTTTTTTCTGGGGCAAAAATTCAGGCCCAAATATATTCTTGTACTTGCCACCCTACCAGTGAAGGATGGGTCAAATGAAGACGACGTAAAGATGTAAAGCTACCTACCTTCAGTAGTTGCTTCTATTTAAAACATGCACACCACTACATGTAATGCCTTATAACAAGTAGAGGTGAGATAGATGTGAAATAAGAGAGGACCATATGCAAACCCCTATTGCCATTTAGTGTGACCTTGGCTCTAATGGTCACAATAGGAGGAGGGAAACACAAGGCCCCGCCACACTGGAGGCTCACACCTGGGGAATAGCCCATAGATAAAAGTGAAAGGATGTCTACCTCTTATTCTTGACCTTGGCTTCAATGTCTCTGGGTGGAGAGTTTGGAGCTATAGACTAAGGACTGGTGAGAACTGCAAAGGTGACACTAGTGACAGATTGGATTAAGCATTTGTCACAACAGACAAGATGCTCGGCTATCATAACAAAGCACTTTTAAATCATGAAAAGAGTTAGCTGCTGGCAAACTAGTCTAGTACATTTCCAAGCACTTAGCCATGCTTGTTTGCATAATACACTGGCTGAAATAATGCAGAAACATTCACTTGGACTGGTATGAAGCTTGTAACGAGAAATAGGACCCCACGTTTGGCAAAGCGCACTGGATTGCAACTTTACATTTTCTTCTCTCAGTCATGTAAATTAATTTGTGTAAAAGCTCGGGTGAATAAAACCCATTTCTCCTCACCGCTCGCAATTTTTACCCCCACTCCTGCACTTCCTCTTTATTGCCCCTTTCGCCAGGAACAGCCTATTAGCCACGGCCTGCTAATGTCCTCGCGATGAAAACGGATGGGAATGTCAGATTTCCAACTTTAAGAGAGTGATGTCATACAGCAGACCACGGGCATTAAAGAGCTAGCCACGATCACCCAGGCGGGAACCAGACTAATTGTTATGAGTATGTTTCATGAAAAATGAATGCGTGCAAATGCGCAGAGGGGTCTTCTGGTTGAATACATGTATGTCTCTAATCACCCTCCACTTCCCTGAGCCACGTGGTTAAGGCCTGAACACAGAGAGCCAAAAACACACACATCAGTTATAGATATCCCACATACAAAAATGTACTCAGCTTAATCTGGTTTGCACAGAGGGTAAATTATTTAAGAGAATTAATTGATTTCGGTGATATGAAGGTTGAGTACGCTCAGGCTGTTTGAGTAATAAGTACAAGGCTTGGCAAAAAACAACTTAAAAAGTAATGAATTATTTATAGGTCAGAACAGAAAGTACAATGAATGTGAAGGCGAAAGCTCAACACATAATAAATTAAGGGCACTGAAGTTGATTTCTCTGGAGTCGATGAAAAAGACCTTTAACTTTTGTGTAGAAAGTTTAAAAAGTAGCAGTGAATCATTTGTAAACTTTGAAATAGTAATATAGCCACTGTTGGCAGGAACATACCTATTAAACACTTATAGCAACTATGTATGAGTTGCCTGAAAACAAGCTAAACCCTACTCATTTTCTATAGCAAATGCGGATAAATGTCTCAACTATATAGTGTGGAAAAATGGTGAGGAATTCATTCATTTTACTTCAGACAATCCAAAATGTAAGTGCTTTTAAGTTTTGATTTGTCATAATTGAGTCTGACAAAATATAATGGTGTTTATAAGTTAGCTCCGATGTGGGTTATTAGGTTATCCATTAGTGAAATCAAAACAAAATTGTTATAATTTTACCAAATACTTGTTCATCACACACTTTGTATTCAATCAGCAAGCTTTTTTCACAACCTCTTTCACATTCTCTTTGTCTTTTTATGACTATTATTTTGGTTGATTTTCAGCAACAACAAAAAACTAAATCTGCTCTATTTTGATAATAAGGCAAGAGCATTATGTGATAATCAGGGTAGGGATTAGGTTAGGCAACGTGTGTGAGGGCAATTCAGTCAAAGCTGCTGGAAAAGAGAGATATAACCGCGAGACAGATAAGAGGAGTGATGATTGGGATGAGAAAAAATGAAGAGTAGTCTCTTGAAAATCAATAAGATCAACTTTGCCTTGAATCTCAATGCAGAAGATTTGGATCTCTTGCGCTGATTATTTATGGGAAATGGACTTATCTGGGGAGCAAATGGCATTTCTCCCCTAGAAACAGAATAACAGTAGCAGTAGCCTCCCATCCTAACTTACGGCTAATTAGAAGGACAAAACTACTGTATTATACATAGATTCTTCGACAGGAAGGTAATCAGAGAGAGCAACATGCCGTCTGTATCGTTAACCTTACATTATTCTAACGTGTATTTACGCTTACTAGACGCTATCAAATCATCTAAAGCAACAATCCGGAATATAATATCGACATGTATATAGCAAAACAGAGCAGATATTCACCCATTTGCCTCCTGCTGAAGACCCTTGCCCGTGAAACGAAAACAACGCGTACTTCCTGGTAGAAGCGCTAAGCTCCGCCTTCCTTACAGAAAATTACCAATCGTGTGCATCGACGTCAAACATCGTCATTCCATGTGACCACAGCAAGCCAATCAAATTCAGAAGCTGCACCACAGCGGTAAACAGCAGGGGAAAGTTGCCTTTTTTTCCTATCAATAGCTCTTAAATCACGTTGTAATGTTGTAGTAACCGAACATAGCGACCAAGATGGTGTAAGGGACGCTAATACACGTACTCCTGCAGATATACACGTTTATATGCGTTATTTTTGCTAATCATTGATTTTGTTGGACACCTTTTCTAATCTAAATGTGGGATGATAGGACCTGCAGTAACTTTACACGTGTGGCATGTATGCTAGTCAAAGCAGAGCAGATGACACGAGCAGAGCGGAATTGCTGAAAGACGTGGCTAGCAAATAACAAAGATATTACGCTAAATATGTGCTCCACATTAAGTGACAATGTGGCAGACCATATTAAAAGTCTTTTAAATGACTTTAAAAGTCTTCACGAGCAGAGACTGGAGTATATTAACAAAAGTCCAGCAAAAATGACGGGAGAGGAACTACAACAGGTATGTGACGTCATATCACGTGTCCCAGGTAGCGTGGCCGAGCGGTCTAAGGCGCTGGATTTAGGTTTCAGTCTCTATGGGGGCGTGGGTTCGAATCCCACCGCTACCATTATGAACCTGATACTAAATTATAATGGACACCCCATTTCTTCATTCATTTTCATGTAACCAAACACAAGGCTCTCCGTCAACCAGAAAGTAGCAAAGAAATAAAGAACATGATTTGCTGATAGATTCCTTTGGCATTAAACAAACTTTTTCACTACATAGAGTGTTTCAAAAACAATATAATACAACTCTTCTGAAGGGTGACACGGTTTCTTGACACAATTGAAAGGATACATGAAAAATCCCAAAAGAAGACAATAAGAAAATGGTTTAATAGTATAGGCCTACTACTGTTTCAATGGACATAAACCTATTGCCTATCTGCCCTTTGTTGTAATATTATTGCTAAAATCAAACCAGGACTCTTGACATGTGTAGATTTGTCTATCCATTAGGTTATGATCTGGCCCAAAATTCAAAGAGCATCCTGTTCAGTGTGCCTTGGCCATCAGAGATGACCTCTGTCCTGTCAGATAAATGACAGGAGGAAGCAGAGGGGTGCTTTCATAAAGCCGCAGCACTTGTAACAGGTGGCAAATTGCATTATGTTTCCATCCCAGCGGTAGCGCTCAGGAACACAGATCCACACTCATATTTAGAAAAGGAGAGGTTTCTAATCATCAGGATTGTCATGAGGCATCATTTAGTTACACAATGGAGCGTGTGTGAGGCGGCCTGTGCATCAGAGCAGGTAACAAGGTTTCAGAGATGGGTTTGGTTTGCCGGCCTCAGCCTTGTTTGGTCTTAACAAGGTTATTGTTAGAACCAAGGAGCTTCTAAGTCTTACAGGCTGATGTGAACAGTCCATCACTGCTTAGCCTGCCCTATAGAGACATTGGCAGTTTTAAAATGTATTACCACAACTTTAACTTGGATGAGACAACACATTTTATAAATTTGACATTTTTAAGTCTGCTTTAATTGACCCAATTATATTTGTTAACTTTTGTGGGGTAATTAGCACAAATTGATGAATTATGTCTTGCTTTTTTCTTTTTATAGATGAAAGAGGATGTGCTTCAGTGTTATGTGAAAGACCTCACTGAACAGAACCAAGTCCTCATCCAGGCCATTGAAGATTTACAAAAAGAAACTTTTTCCAAGTCTGGAGTGAGAGTGCATTTGTCCTCTTCTAAAGTAAGTCCAGAGTTTATGAATATATATATTTCTTCATCTTTCGATAAGTTTAAGTCTGTGGGGATGTACTGTATATGTGTAGTAGCTTTAGACTGCACCGGCCTTATGTAGTTAATTGATTCAGTTTATTTAAAAGGCACAATTCTGTTAATATTAAATGATATGAAAGAAGCAATTTTCCAATTAATTTTAGAATTTCTATAATTTAAGAGTAATTATTCTAAAAGAACTCCATAGACAAAAAGGCCTCTTTGTTCTGAAAATAGTTTGAAAATTTTAATCCAAGTTCAAGGCCTACTTAATGTGAATTAGTGAACATGAGTGAGCTAAGAAAATTCTTGTAAACAAAAAAAAAGTCTTAGGCAGTTATATGAAAGGATGATCAAGAAGGACCGTAAACAAAGGAGGTCACATCAAACTCAAACACAATTTACTTTGAAAAGTAATTTCTTTCTTATTCAGTGAGAGGGGGGACACTTGATGTAGTGACCTTAGTATTGTCCCTGTGGTTATGGCCATACTTCTGTCACCACACACACTGAGTGGGGTCTGCACACAGAAAAGTAATTACGCTCCATTGTACATCATAGTACTTATCTGCTTTTATAGACAAGGTCAGAGGGCTGGCTTTATGTGCAAAAGGGTCATAGCAATATAAAGATGTGCATTTCTCAACATTCAGAGCTGCCACTTTGAACTTCAGTCAATTAAATTTTCATCAGGAGCAGTGGTAGAAGCTTCATATACGAGCTGGTACAGGTATGAGAGCACTGAGTTCCTGTTACTGTATTTCTATACAGTTCAGCATTAAGTAACACAACTGTACATGCCAGCAATCAGTATTTTATTTACTGTGAACATTTTACCTTGGAGTCTATACTTTTGTCTGTTTGCTTGTTATTAAATAGTGTATACAACTATGGGAATTTTATAAACAACAAGTGGTATAATATAGAAAATATTGAAAAATTTGAAAATAGATGGTGTGATTGACTGGGCTTCACTGTTTTCCCACGCCAACTCACTGTCTGTTGAAGTTACTTTGAGTGTTTTCTGCGTCCAAATTGGTAAACAAATACTTAAACAAATGCCCTGCTCCACTCCACAGTCTATTAGGGTAGTCAGGGGACAACTGTGTATTTCTGCTCTGATGTCCATAATGTAAAATCCAATCAAATGAAGAGCATTTAGGACTACTTATGGGTCGTTCCACCATGTAAACGATGCAATGAGCTTGGTAATAGGAGCTTGGCTAACGTCTGATTGAATCGTAGTCTATGGCCCTGTTGATGCACAATAGGGTTCAGGGGTAATGGGCACTACAGAGTTGGTTTTGTGACCATAATATAATGAAATTCAAAGCGTTCTATGGACTGCTGCAATTAGCCAGTTTATTTGTCATTCACAATGTGGGAGGATTTCCATATATTTCTGTATAGCTGTTACATACAAATTCAGTTCATAATTTTGGGGAATATATCTCATTATCAGTATCAGAAATTGTGTTTTTTTAGTGACCCCTCCTTTAAAATCTCAACGCTGAGATCGTATTCTCTTATGTGCAGCTAAGAAAACACGAAAAGGTCATCATAGGCCTAGTAACTGCTAACACAGCTGGTCCAGCAATGAATGCAAGAATGTATTTTTGGATGCAATAAACCACAGAGAAGGATCACTTAAATAGTAACACGCACATATATGCACATTAAACTATTCAGTAATGTAAGGCACAAACCGGTATGCATTCCTGTGAGCTTTGACCCTAGGCAATGGAAGAGTAGGCCTGTCACAATTACACATTTTGAAGTGCGATATTGTTGAAGAAAACAAACAATAATTGTGGGTAAACTGGCCTGATGTGGTCATAGTAGAAGGCAGATTTATTTTGTTAATATAAAATATTGTAATCACAAATAAACTGTTCAAACAAATAAAACGAAAATGAGTACCATAAATTAAATACAATGCAACAACCATGTGCACCTAACTACACAGACGTCTCTCCCGTAACTGACAACACACACAGCTTCAGCAACACAACTTCCTTGCAGGCCACAGTTATACAGGTACTTTTAAGTACCTATATCTAAAGCTAGAGGTTTACAAAGGGCCTAACTCACTTTAAACCATGCTTAAAATAAACTAAACACTAAAATACATCAACTAAATACACAAACAAATAAATACAAAGGAAACCAGTTCTCCCCTCCACATGGTACAGCCCACGACTTCCCCCAGGGACTTTAAAAATGGCCACTGTGGCACATGCCCCCGCTTCATTACGACCATGTGGAGATACAGGTAAGTTAAATAAATTAACAAATGAAGTACATTTAAATTAACAATGTGTTGAGTGATAATTTAACAACCCCCCCCAAAAAAAATAAAAAAAATAAAAAAAGGGCTGTAAGGACAAACTGTTTAGTTGTATATGGAGAAATGAGAAATTAATTGAATGAATGTTAATGGGACAAAGACCCACTTTGTCACAATAATAAAACTAATTTATGCCTCCAACACAATTATCCTGAACTAGAATTATCCCCCTCCAAAATATTCTTTATTATATGGTTAAAAACACCAACTGCAATAATTAAACAGGAGAATGCAAGACTTTAGTAGTTAGTTTGTATCTATAATGAGTCAAATAAGTTATTTATTCAACCCTACAGCTCAAGTCTAGTCATATAACATGAAAAATAAAAGTTCCCCACTAATACTAAGAAAATTCCATACAATAAATACTGACCCCAAAAATGATTGTTCCATCATTGAACAATAAGTAGATATAGTAATTCGTTGTGACAAGCCTATGGAAGAGGGAAAGGGGAAGATTTCTAGTGTGAATTTAATGAAACATTATTCTTTAAACAGGATTACATCTGTCTATATAATGGAATGTAAAAGAGCCCCAATCTTCCATGCAGCATAGTAACTCCAGTCAATAAAGCAGGACATTTCCTTCAGGTCCACATTAAAACAGTCTTCTAAGTGCGTGACCTTTTGTGTTGTTCTAGCCGATGCGACGCTCATAGACATAGACTTGTGTAACAGCTGCTTGGAGGGAGTGTGAGGAGCCAGTGAGTGCGAGCCAGAGAGGTCAGGAGGTTGCGATGGTTGACTATGCTAATGCTGTTGTTAATGACTTTGCTGTGAGTGATAATTGATCGTCTTCATTACCATATTAACTCCAGTGCCCCCACCCAACTCAGACCCCCCTCCCAACCTCACAGTCTCTCGCCATGCGGTAATGGATGCCCCCGTTTGATCCTTGGAATAATGAACTAATTAGCTTAATTAAAATCAATAGAGGTGCCAATACTGGGTTACACATTTCAGAAATGCTGTCTCTATCAGCAGGGAAAGGAATATTCCCAGCGTCAGAGCACGCTGGGCGGGAGGGGAGTGCATTAACAGGAAGCTAGGGTCTACAGAAAAGGGATTGGGATACAGGAAGGCTAATTATGTCACTATTTGTAAAAAGAAATACTAAAATAATGTTTTATTTCTTTTAAAGGGGGTAAAACTGTCAACATAAAATCACCATTAAACCCTTTAATTAAATGGCTAAAGGCTGACTTTTGAATTACGCTTAAACCTGCTTGTTGGTTTGTTTAGCCCTAATCCAGCCTCAGTTCGTTTCGGGTTTAGACCTGGTTTGAAACTTGGAAAAAAAAACTCTTTAAGCAGAAACTGTTGTTTGAGAACTAGGTTATTGCTGGTTTAGTCTCAGGCTAAACATAAAGTCCCCAGACCCGGTTCAGTTCTGATATAGTGCAGGCTTAATGTTAATGTTTTGTCATTGATTTGCAGATACAACATTGAGATACAACATTGGATGTTTTTGTAGTAGAGTGCAGACATTCTGAATTTGTTTAAAAGTGTTAAATTTAAGCTATTAGACAAGGGGACAAAAACGTAATGGGAGGGGTAAAATGAATACTAGAGACAAGCCAGGAGCCAGAGAAAGGGGAACTAAATGAGAGCGAGAGGGCGAAAGAGGTTCCTAATGCTGATTTATGAGTGCTTGACGGTCGTTAGCTGGAATAAATGGCTTGTAGGAGTGGCTGTTGCATTACTCCCTGTACAGGATACTAAGTGCATTGTAAGGTCAGCCATAAGGCCAAACTTACATATGTAGCACAGTGCCCTTGTAAACCTTTGTTAATATATCAGCACCAGGATTGGACTCTAAGTACTCCAACTGATGACTGCATGCGTCTGATATGTGCACTACAACGGAGGGACAGGAAGGAGGAAGTTTATCTAATCATCAATGTAAATACTTGAGTGTAACTACAGCAATTGCTCTTGATTTTAATGAAGGAGCTCAAGATATGCCCAACATGCTCATTAGCTTGACCTAAAAGTTATCTCAAACTTTCCTAATTTGTGATGAGAATAATCACCAGTTGTTTTTATAAACCAAGATAAAATAAAACACGCATGCAATATTAACATTTTATCTTTTCTTATAATAAGAAAACATGATTGTTGCCTAGCGTTTACTTCCATAACTTTAGCAATAGACAATAAACAAAAGTATATGTTTTTGGTAACTATCCACTTTGTAATATTGTAAATTCTTTCTTATTTTAGAGTTATTTTAGAAGATGTGCACATAATAATATTCCACTTTTATCAAGTTAATTATGTTTTCGTCTAAATATTTCTCACAAATATTGCATATTTTTCTGTTTGTCTCAAAACTAGTCCTTATTAGTATGAAAAGTATCTGATATGATGCAATGTTTGTGTAATCTGCTCTTTTGCCACTCCTCCTCCACTTGTGTTTTTGACCATTAGGTTAATAGCAGACTTTCCGCACCACTCATAGTAGCGTTATTGCATCTCTCTCATCTAAAAACACATGCATATATTTGTGTCCCTTTTCCCTCTAACAAATGAGTTACCATGGTCATAACGTCCACGGAGCATATTACCTTAGATTGTGGGCCTTTTTCATAATGCTAAGACTAGTGCTGACAGATTACTAACAGGATGAAGTCACACACACACGCACACACGCACACACATCGGGGTCCATAATGAGACCTTATTCCGGACACCGAACCTCAGCTGCCTGTAAATTACATCTGCCACTCTGCCATACATACTTAATCAGCTAATGTTGTTTTATTTTGTATTATTAATTTGTTCTTGTTTGTGATTTATCTAAAGCGCCCCGACATCACACCAATATTTTGTCCGCTTTACAGTTCAGAGGGGGCAGAGGAAGGAGAGGAAGCCGTGCACAGAGTCGTGTACTTAGGGGATTGCATCTGTAATGAATTGACTGGCTGTTTAGGCATACATAACATTGCCTACTACTCACCTTAATAATGTAAGCAGGTCGTAACTCCTGCTAACCCAAGGGTATAGAAGGCACGCATGCAAAGACACACATATTTTCTATTGCCACACGCACACACACACAAATCTACCTATATTAGCCGCTGACCCCGCTGTGTGCCAGGTCTCCCCATTGTCACAGGCAGGCTGCTTTGGAATATCAATATTTCATGATGGGGGGAGAAAATGGTGCAGGTTTGTATATGGTGTATGGATAATAGCAGCTTTCTATAGCTCAAATGACAACGACTTTAGACTGTGATCACATGTTCTGTTATATAGGTCTACAGTAAAAAGACTATTGTTTTTATTTATACAATTTTTACAGATTTATTATTAACAAGAAATCATCTGAATTTGAAAAAGCTCGAAATAAATTGCTTTGTACTGAGCCAGTAACATTCATTTACTTACATAAAAATGCCAATTACATTTTATTAACAGATTTTTTCAAACTTATAGCCATCATTGTAAATAATTTTAAGTGCACATTTTAAATGCGTACAGTTTCAAGGCCAGTTTATGTATATGGCATTTTAATTCCCTATCATTACACAAATAAACAGATGGAGTTTACATTACAAATCCGGTTAGTTTAGACCCAGACCCCGTCCTGCAGTTGTAAAGTCCCACAAACGCTGACCGGTGAGTCATCGCTGTCACCATCGATTTCCGTTTCCCTGAGTGACCCCTGTCGCCACGACGATAGAGTGACCCATATTTCACCAGACCTGCTGCCCTTTCTCTCCTCTCTTTTAAACATTGCAGCTATACTGGCACTCAATGGGCTTTGTGTACCCCAAGCATTACTATTTTTAAGAGATTTGTATGCACTCGTTTCCCATAAATAATTGGATAAATATTTTTTTTAAAGACATGTTTAATTATTATTTTTTTTCAATCACATCTATAATCAGTCAGTGTGAGGTCCACTGAAGAATTTTATTTTCTTCTTAAGCTCTGACTAATGCCAGCAGTAGGGTTTTATGTATTGACCATGTATTGATTGTGCAACTTTTACTATTGTTGATTGTCTACATTGTCCCCAGTTTCATAATACACCACAAGTATGCTTCAACTCATAATATCCAAATTATGCTTATTTTCAACCAAATAATGCTTACTGACTGCCTATGATTGTTGATGTAGCCTAATAGGGGTTATTTAAGTCTGCCTTTAATAGGAATCATAAATTGAACTGAACAAGTGTTGTGTTTCTGTGTATCAAAGTGTTCCTTTCAAAGCCAATGACTTCCTGTGCTACTGTTACATCAAATATGTCTTTAGATGAAAGCCTAACTATCGCATTATTACCATAATCACATTTCAAATTTTACTTCTTCTTTGTAGGCCATTTGATCTTGTTAGTCTTGTTCTCCCTGATCTGAATTGGGTTTATTTATGCGTACTTGATCCTGTCATTGGAAATCAGACAAACATTGACCGGAATAGTCACTTAAGTTGTTGTGTGCTTTTTCATTTATGCTTCAATTTTTCCATGATGCATTATGATGTTTTCCTGGGCCAAAATGTGCAGATTTGTTAGCAATTAATAAGTATTTCTCACCTTTTCCTGTTAGCATCCTTTCAAACCTCAAATCAACTGGGCAAAAAATTAAATCATGTGTGATAATTAACACATTTTACTTTTTAGATCTGTGATTAAAAACAATTAATTTATTCTTGCGTTTTCCCATGATGCATTGTCAAGTTCACAGCCAGAAAAGGTGAAAAATTTAACTAATTAACAAGGATTTTTGCGCGGTTAGCATCTTGTCAAAGCTCATATGAGCCGGACTAAAAACATGCACTTAAAAATAATACGTGATAATTACTGCCTTCAGAGATCTCTAATTAAAACCACTAACGATATTGTAACATGTCTCTTGTATCGCCCGTAGGTCTCTGCGGAGGAGCTCAAGGCTGTGTCTCTGTGTGAGCATGTTGGCCCCACAGCACACTGCGCTCACTGGTAATGTATTTAAATATGGTACATGCTTCTTGTGATAAATGTCTTGTCAAAAGTTTACTCTGCACTATTAACCAATGAACTAATAAGTTGCATTCTAATAAGTTCCTGGGTGGACCACACACCTCGGCGCACGGCAGGCGGGTGCTGGCGGGTGTTGGCGGGTGCAGGCAGAGGTAACAGAGCTGGCCTCAGGGACTCCTCTCTCCTCAGGGAAGTGGAGGTCCTCAGGGAGCCGCTGCAACACCACTGTCCCTTTGGCAATATGCTAATTCTTATATGATATCTCCCACCGTGCACCGCTCCAGCCCCTCAAGACTTGTTCTGTTTTTAGTTGATGGATTTTGTAGGGGAAAAAAATAGTTTTAATTTTAACATATACTTTTTGGAAAAATCATTGAAACTATCATGTTCTGAATCTATAATATCATGCATATAAATGTATTTTACATTTTTACAATGACACTGAGACACCTGGACTCATACCAGTTTGATATGAAAATTTCTTACAAAAATCTTGGGTGGTTTTGGGAGAAAAGTTATCTTATTATAAAGTCATGTTACTTATTGCAATAATTAATTATACATATCCAGTGCTTTTTAATAGACTAACTATTCATAACTTTGCACATGAATTTAAAACATACAGTCACCAGTGTTTTTGGTGCTCCCCACTGTGCAAGAGTCACGTTTCACAGTTAAACAGATATATTATAGGGTAGAACTGATAACAGTGGCCACCACAAACCCCTGAAATTAACAGTTATTACAGTTATTTTTATTATTAAAAATAATAATTAATTTGACCTTAAAATAATATTCAAGCAAAAACTGAAGAATTTAACTATAACAATGTTAGAAAACTACTTGAAACTGTCTAATCTTCCTGTGCTATGTCAAAAAGCAATCCAAAACAAAGGGACTTTATCACTCAGTCAATATTTTTTATTGTTTTCCTGAACAGCAAGAGGGCATCCAGATCTGGTGTGAACTAACCAGACAGTGGTTTGACAGCTTGTGGTGCAATTAAACCAAGCAGCCAGGCTGAAATGGCCTGCTTTGGCTCAGTGTGGTACAGCCTGTGTACTGTGAGGCAGCCTTCCTCTTCCTCTTCCTCTTCACTCATATTGCACCGCATGCAGGAGGGCATGATGGATCCTCGGTTAGGGCACTGACTGTCACAAACACATAGATTTAACATTGCACCTGGAGCTCTTTAAATGGCTGTGCATGTATAATACAAAGTAAGAGGAGGTAAATGAAATGGGTAAATCAGGAGGAGGCAGATGACAGGTTGAAACGCTGGGTGAGTGTGTGTTGTTTGTTGCCACCAGCGTCAACATTAAAAACATCAGATTGAAGCCAGCCTCCAGGGTAGCATCACTCAGCCAGGTGTGAGTGTGTCTGTGTACACACTAAACCGCTTTCATCTACTTCCCCATTCCTCACTTTTTGTTTTTCCGCACATTTATTTAAATATTTCCATTCGAATGCCTCACAAAACACACATACACATTGATCTATTGATGTATTGATGTGTGAGCGGATGTCACTTTTGTATTTTCCATCTCCCTCCAATTTTTTAATTCTTTTCTGCGAGTGTAATCTCCTGCAGAGTTTTTTACGCTTGAGTTAGCGTGAGCGCTGTTGCCAAAAGCACTCAAATGCTTAAAGTTAGTTATAGGGAAAAGAAGCTTTGACACAATATCCTCATTCTCATTTGGGAAAGGTAGAAACTTTTCCAGTCCTGCAGTGCCCCTTGGAGTATTTGACATAGTTCAAAAAGTTTTCTGGAAACACAAAGATACATAAGAAGTAGACTGCGGGTTCATTACTGTTAGATTGTTGTTTAGCTTGTGCCTGCACTAGCTGTTTGTGTCGAGCTGTCACCCGAGTTTGCACTGAGCTGACAGACTGTGCCCTGGACCCAGAGTGGCAATCAGACCTAACACAGCCTCATAGACACTCTACATAGTACAACATCATTTACAATTATCTGAACTCAGGTCATGTCAAGAACAAGACCCTTTTTATGAATTAGCTTTTCCACAATGATACATTCATATGTACATATTTAGTGGCAGCTTGTGTCAAATGCACAGATGTCACACACTCCACTCTCTTCAGACTTGTGCTTCACACCGGAGCTTCCTCCTGCTGTTCTCACAGCCTGAGCGCTGTGACATCTGCAGTGCAGCCACATGGATAAGCAGCTGCCACAGTGAGAGACAGAGGGGAAGAGAGGGGGGAGGGAAGAGAGGGAGGCAGAAGGAGAGGGAGGGAGAATGAGAGGAGAGGTAGGGGGAGAGAGAGAAAGGGTGAAAGAGAGCGGGAAAGGAGAGAGGAGGAGACAGAAAGAAAGAAGGAGGAGAGGGAAAGAAAAGTAACCAGTGGAAGACAATGACGGCACAAGCTGAGAGGGAGTGGACCCTGATAAGCAGCAACAGTTAGACGTACAGCAGGGTGACACGGAGTGCACCTGCACACGCGCGCGTGTGTGTATGTGTGTGTGCGTGTGTGTTTGTGTGTGTGTGGTGGGGATGTGGCAGCGTGCCAGCTGGTGCCATCTGGCTGCTTGACAGAGCTCTTCTCATTAACAGGGGGTTAATTGCTGTGGCAGCACCCAGGCTGTGTCAAACATCACCCTGGGGACGTGAGGCAGCAGGCACACTGCACAGTTGTGTGTGCCCGCGCACGCTTCTGTGAGAAAACACTTGACATTAGAAGCTCTGTCTATTCTCCATGTGTAAATGGTTGACTACAATGAGCAGTGCATTAGCTTTGCCCTGGCATGTAAAAGGGCAGAATTAAGACCAGGGTGTTGTGTATGCATGTATGCCAGGGCACGTGGATGTTTATGAATTATGCCTGCTTGCTGTAATGATGTAGAAAGAATTAGGTTTACAGAGCCAATGTCTCTAGCCCTAAGGGCAAACGCAGACGCGCACACATCTATGGGACAGGGAAAAGGGGTGGCAATTTGCATGTTATTACTGCATATTCATGACTAATTTTGTTAGCCTTGCCTAATAGGCCTGAGTGACAGCTTGAAAAATCGGGAGGCTGCTTTAATATCACACACACTTATGCACACACACTTCAGTCACGTTCGTCCTGCCATCTCTGTCCACACAGTAATCATAACAGCACTTATAGCTCTAAATAGGAATTCCCTGTTCATCTGTTGGCTTGACACTTTGTCATTTGTTTACAGCCATGTACATTACAATAGGGTAAAATATATAGCCTCATTTGTTACATGCATAATCATTACCGCTCACCGCAGGCATGGCATGAATATATTTGCATTTTGACCTGCAGATAATAATATACATCCGGATGTAGTGCATTGTAATATGCATTTTCTAAAAGAAGCTAAAACATATGAAAATAAATAATGAAAATTGATCAAAAACCTTTCTGTTTTGTGAGATATGCACAAATATTTGGCTTTATTATGTGCACAGTCGCACTTTTCAAATGAAATGAATACTTTGTCATTACAAAATGATATTTCTTATCACAGTTAGTGGGGCTTAAGCAGCCGTGTGCATGTTGACACACACACACAGCCACTACCCGCTGTGCAGGTGAAAATAGGGATGAAATTGGCTGCAGTTCCTTTCATTCAACACCTCTTTCCATTTTCAACCTGTTCCCGTTTTAGACCATTACGTCTCTAAAAATTACTTCCAAATTTTGGCTGATTCAAGTATTTTCTTCCCCAAACTGACAGGAAAATAAGATTGGAAATAGCTAATATTCAGGCAATGTTTTTGCCCTTAGTGCAAAGAGAAAGTTAACATGTTTTGTCCTTTGCAAGTTTTCACACACCCTTAGTAAAAAAAAAACAAAAAAAACATTTTATTTGCACAGAATGTATTGTTTTTGTATTGTTTTGTTTATTTTGAGATCACTGCTCTGCAAAGATGTAATGTACAGTGAGAGCACTATGCTCACACAACAAATCAACTGCCTTTACAATGCCTCTACTACACATACGTCCCTACTCTTATAAAGCCAGTTTTATGTATATTCTTTCTTTCTTTCAAAGTAGTTTTTTCTCGTTCCAGCTCGAAGATTTAACTCAGAACCCTCTATCCAGTCAGATGTCACTTTTGTCAAATCTTGCCTTTCCTTCGCTGCTTGGTTGTGTAGACACGCTTGATCAAATGTAACTTTAACATTTTTAATCTGTGCAAAGTTTCATCAGAGTAACTCATCTCGCGAGGCTGGTAAATATGAGATGTGTGTGTGTGTGTGTAGTTTTTAATGTGTTCTTTTTTCACCATCTTCCATCTCGGGTGTGTGACAGCTGTCATGGGTGACGCAGAAAGGTGTCTGGGCAGAGTATTTTCACCGCTGGGAAACACACGCAGATGCACACACACACACATGCACACAAATATATATGATACACCGACACACACACTCAAACTCATATCTCCTCCTGCTCCTGTCACTAGGCACAAAATTCACCAGGCTCAGCATCTCTTTGCTCTGTTTAAATGAGATTTTTTTCATGAATCAAATATTACATTTTACACACGCCGCATGCTTCTTGCTTATTTATTTTCTTGTTTTGAATTAGAAAACCTCAAATGTATCAAATAACATCATATTTTGACATCTTGTAAGGGTAGGTAAGGTAAAAGAAAAATTGCAAAATTTAATTTAGGACCCCTAATGCTACAGTTGCATTTACTACTACTTCAATCTTGATACACTCGATAACAGATTTAAGGGTTGTGCACATTTGAATTAATATCAGGAGCCAATTTGACATGTTATGGCTGTTAATCTATTTTCTGTTTTCTGTCCTGTGTAGTGAGTTTTCTTTGGCTGAAATTACAACTTCGCTAGAGGCCCTTGAAGCCCAATTGCAGACCAAGGACGTGGTCATCTGTGATCTGGAGAAGAAACTCAGAGAGAATGAAGAGCAAAGTAAAATGGTAATAGACTTAATTTCCCTGGTTTTAAGTACGGCATATACTAATTTCAGATAAGTGCTGACTTAGTCTCACACCTGTTAAAATTGGCAGCCTTTAGTAGAAGGTAATTTTCTTTTAGTCTTTCTAAAGTTAAATGAAAAATACTCAATCTGCAGCTTTCCCAAATTATGAAGTTTAGTTCTATAAAAGTGAACCTGTTCAAGTTCATTCTGGCACAATATTTCAGCCTAAGTCTCAGATCACCTGCAATTTTAAACAACTTTTAAAGCGAGGCGTGCTTGTTATTGTTGTCTCTGAGGTGGAGAAGTCTTATTTTACGATATTGGTTTGGCAGCTGTGCTAGGAGCGCTCCGTGTGCAGCCAGGTTTAACAGGAAGCTGAGGCGTGTGTGATGAATTACCAGCATATCTCCAGGCCCTGGGTAACAAACATGGCCTCTCCGTCCGGGATTAGAAGAGACTTTTTATGGCCTTCCCACACCTCCTTATAGGGTGTCACTAAATTATACCGACTGCTGTTTTACTATCTGCTGTGGCTTACACTTACACTCACAAACACACATGTACTGGGCTGCGCCTGTGGTAAAGCCAGACTTGTTGCTTGTTTACGAGTTGGCTGCATTCTGTTTGTTTATGCCCTTTTGGATTGACTCTTTTGCACTGGTGCTAATTAGTGGTTTGTCTGATTACAGAGTCTCCCAGGAACATGACACTAAGTAAAGCATACTTTTGAGGAGTGTTGATATATTTCTTCATTCAACATGTGTCTCCATTTAAGCAGTTTGTGGAGAGACTGAGTAACTGGCTGCATTTTAACCATCAAATCTGAAGTTTATCTGAAAAATATGGCTCATGAAGGCCCAACTCTGTATTTTTGAATATCTAATTTTAAGCAGGGTCGCAATTATTAATCACCTTTATCATAACTAATTAATAACTGAATTAATTAATGGCTAATTTAATTCTTGTATTCTGTGTAACACTCAAACTAATAGATGCTGTGTGCAAGGGAAAGAGATGTTACCACTAACTTATTCAATCAAAATTGCATAAAAATTAATACATATTTTCTGATTTAGATGTAAAATTATTCAGACTATATTTTAGTTGACTAATCAAACAAATAATCACTGACTTGTTGACTTCTAAAATAATTACAAGGTGCAGCTCAAATTTCTAGCAATTATGTGTGTAAAACTCCAATTATAACTTCAATCATGTCTTGAATACAACAAAATACTAACGAACGAAGCAAAAAACATATATTTTTACATATGTGATCTTTCTATGTGTAATATGTTTTGTATTTTTCTTTTACCCAGAGAAGAGCCGTGCTGCTGGAGAATGGGGAGATCCTGGCGTACCTGCAGACACAGCTGTCGTGTCTGCAGAAACTCCAGGAAGACAACATAAAGGAGATCGCAGAGAAAGACATCTGCATCACTAAACTGCGAGCCAATATGGAGGTGCTAAAACAAGAGGAGGCACAAACCACCGCTCAGGTAGGCGTTCACTTTTCTAGCTGAAGTGAAACTAGTATTTTGTGCGGTAAAGGTGAATTACTGTTGATGATTAGAAAATAATGCACTTGAATATTTTTAATTGTAGCTCAAATTATTTAGTGCAGTTGTGAAGGAGCTATAGGAGGGAGTGAAGAGGAAGTAGGATGGACAGTGGGAGGAGGGAGACAGGGGAGCAGGTCAATATGGGGAAAAGTTGAGAGAGAGTTTAAAGAGGAGGGGACGATGCACAATCAGATTTATAAAAAGGACACCTACGATGAGCACAGAGGTCAGTAGTATTAATTCATACAGAACTTCAGAACATGTGTAGTGGCTTGGTTTAATCTCTCTATTACGTTTTTGAAATTATATTTTTTCTGGGCAGTGAATGATGTCCTGAGCCATATTTTTTCCAACCATTGTTTTAAACATGTCTATTTTAGCAGCAGTTCTTTGACTGACTCTTCCACATGCTACAGTTTTGTCTACATATGTTTACTCATACCAGGACAGAACGAAATCTTGTTCCTGTTCTGCCAGACTTGTTAAAAACAAAAACAACAAAACACTTCACCTTAATTCAGACCTCAGACACTCGCCCCCTTCTCCTCCACCTCCTCTCCTCTCTCCATCCTGCCATCTCGCCACAACCGCTCCAAATTAATCTGCAAAATATTGATTTGAGGAGCAGGGGGCGGGGGAGGGGGGCGCACGATTGCGGCCGCATATTAATACGAACAGGCCGCTCTTCGTCTCTGCTCTATACTTTAAGATCCTCATATCTTCATAATTGATTAATGTTCCTTTGTGAAGTGGGGATGAATAATACATTAGTGGGCCTGCTGCACCCTCGGGCTGATGAGAAAATGTTTAATTTCAGTAAATGTAGCGCTCCCTCTCCCTTTCTCTCTTTCATTCTGCTTCCCTGCTTATTTGTGAGAGCTGGAGTGTGTTTGTGAGTTTGCACTTGTGAGCTAAGCATGAGAGGACTGCTGGTGATTTGCCTTTTTTGTGTTTACTACATGTTAGGCGCCACAAACAAAAGGCAGTGTCTGCATATGCAAACATGAAAGAAATAAATGAGGGGAATAAGCTGGCTCTTGTTTCATAAAATAAGAATAAAAACACTTGAGTGACTCTGTCTGTTTACCTTTTAAGCAAATCACAATATTAGAGATTTTTTGTTCTTGTTCAACCCCAGTGTCCTGTCATCTCCATGTTATCTGTCAGTAATCAATAAAAACATGCAAATGTGCCACAGAGCCACCTGATGGGGACCAGGCCTCTGTGAGACTCAATGAAATGACATGTGTCAACTACTGTGACTGCCACAGCGGGACTCGACTTAGCTCATCTGGTTAACAATGCTAATTATGCTAAAAACAGCTTTCTAATAATGATGAGTGATTTAAGTGCCTAGGAAGCATATGCAGCGATTTGAGAGGATTGAGGACGTGTTTTAACAGACACCTGATGTTTGTGTAGACAGGGGGAAACGATGAAACACACACAGGTCTCACATGCACACTTAGCGCTGGCTCATTTTCATGTTGAACCCGTGCCAATGATAAAAGCGCTCTAAACAAGCAGTGCTTTGTCTATGCACACAGAGCACTAATTGAATAAATAATACTTATCCCTTAACAAGGAGGCTAATTAGTTATGCTAATCAGCCTAGATAACCCAATTAACCTCATAGAGAGACGCCGGTGTGTGTTCAGCTGTGGGTTTGTGCCTGAGAGCGTATCACACACACTTAAGAGAATACATTTGCCTAATTAGTTTTCATTGACACAGACGAGCATTTGTGTTTTCCTTGTCCTTATTGTTGTTATTGAATACACAGTAATAGGCTTTCCAACTGTTCAAAATAAGTGCTATTGAAACTGTGTCAACAGCGCTCCTCTACTTGTGCAATGGGATATATACATTTACATGTATTTGAACCCTCTCGCCGCCTGTCTCCTAGTTAAATCGACATGGGCATGTATATTTTTACAACTATTACGGTAGTTTAAACAGAGGTTGTATTTGTACTGAGAATGTCTGCCTGTTCCATTAGTTTATGTCCTTGGAAATAGATTTGGCCTCAAGTTCTGTGCGTTTATTTAAAACCTTCAGTCAGCGCAGCCTCCTAATAGTGAGCCGTGTTTCCTCTCGTTTAGCTCCGGCACTCATTATCCGGGCCATGTGGAAGAGACAGTGTTTGGAGAGGGAGAGGCAGGAGGGGAGGGCGAGCGACACAGGGACCCGGTGAGGGAGCCAGGGAGCGAGCGAGTGAAAACCAGAGCAAACACCAAAGAAAAAGACAAACGGAAAAATGAGCAACGGATGTAGATCATCTTTAAACTGGCCGCAGTTTCCTTTGCTGCGAACAGCGAGCTGAGGAGGCCCACAGAATATCATTATGTTCTCTGATGGGAGCACATTGAGTGAACAGTTGTAGCTTGATAGTGTAAACTGTTTAGCATGCTTTGGTACTGGTGTATTATTCAGTGTAATTCAACAGATCTTTTTGATTTGCTTTGATGACTAATCTGATACATTCACTTTCTGTTACATAATTAATTATCAAACCACAAACGTAATTGTGATTTTGAAATGACATTGAGTCTGAATGACTGTATATGACATTTCATAAAAGTGCATGCAGCAGACAGTGCGCTGTGTCTCCTCTGTAATTGGCCAGCAGTGACTCATGACCCCTGTATCCAGTTCTTTCTACTGTATATGTCACATTTGTTCTGTGAAAGACTTTAATGAAGCCATTTAAGCAAAGTACCAACAGCAGCTCTGGATATAACACATAGCCCACGTGCTAATGGGATTCAGAGCTGAGGCCTAAACTGCAGGTTTAACATCCTGGGGCTGCGCTGGATGCTAATGTGTGCAGCTAGGTCTTGAATGGGGTGAGATGCTAATATTAGCACAGGCTCCCCTCAGCTGAGTCATCTCCTTTGTGTCCTTGGCTTATTAACTCATTTAAGGCTGATTGGATCAGTATGAAAAAGCGTGCACTTGCACTCTTAGACATAGGCACACCAAATTTGAATATCAAAATGGAATTGCTTGACCAGTGAAAACTAGATTAATTCAAAATGGTTGCATCAAGGTGTAAGTAAAACAGATGAGTCTGCATATTTTTAATGCACCTTGCAGCATTTAAAGCCATTTATAACATTAACTAAAGCTCATGTTATGCAAACACACTTTGCAAGTCAAAGCCACTTATGATAAGAATTCCTGATGCTCTTTTGCTTCTTAGCCTCAATTTGACTTCATGAGATCATCAGCATACTACAGCTATTGATTTTGCACTCCATTTGATCGAGTTTAAGCAAGCTTAAATGTGTATTGGCCCCTGTAATAGCATGTAGACTCCTCTCGCTATCCCGCTGCAATGTTCAGGCCATGTGCTTTTCATCACAGACGCACTTGCAGACTCACAACTGTGTAGATTGTGATTTGTTTCTTACCACTGCTCTGTTATTTCAGCCCCCTCTCCATTAAAGTCTCTATTTAGTTTTGTCAAGGTTATGTAAACTAATTGGCCAGTGTTCTGCTTCTAACACACACTGCGCTCTCCCTTTGTTTCCTGTAGTCTTCAACTGTCTAGAGATTACAAAGTGCAGACATGTTACGTTGTTTGGTCCAAGGGGAATCATTTTACTTTTATGTAAGTGTGATGGCTGCTACATTTTATCCTCCCAAATATATGTATCCAAATATACTTATCATCTTATCTAATAACTCTTAAAGCATTAGCATAACCCAGCTCAGGTAAGACTCTATAGTGTATTTGACCAGTATGACACGTGCACATTTGTATAACTCATTCACAGCATGCCATATATTTGTCTGAGTCCGTTTTCTCTGGAGATTTTAATTCCTCTCCTCCGTGTTGTTGTCATGGTTCCACCGGCAGTGTCTGCGCCAGGGAGACGAAGACATATTGGTGTTAATGAAAAGCCCTCCTAAACTTTCCTCCCCACATGAATGTTTAAACACGCTTGTCATAACATTCATTCGCTCACACATGACAGCTAGCATCTGCAGCTGCCTTGCTCAGCCTCAATATTTTATCATACCATCTCCCCTAACCCCATAGTAGCACAATGGCTGGGTGTTGGCAAACTCGATGGTAATGACTTTCTACAGCCAGCAGCCTATACATAATGAATTCAGCATAGCACAGGTCATATAATAGTGCAATTAGTCGACCTTATAAGTGTAAAAAGGAAATATAAAGAATATTATTACACTTAATTTAAATAGGACTGCAAATTCAATGGTAACAACTATCAAATCGCAAAAGCTACAATTATTAACTGATGTATATAAAATGTATATATAGTCCCTCACAAACAACAAAAATCCTGTCTACTTTGGGACTCATTTTTCGTCTGACCTGCTAACCCTCTAGTTTAGAGCTCTGCGTACATGTTCTTAAATGCTTGTATTGGTTTTGCAGTTATTATTTGTTTTCTCTCAGATGTCAGTGTTTCCAAATATCTTTAAATGTGAAAAATGTGTACTGAATCTGACTCAAATGTAATCGCAATACTTCTCAAAAATATTTTCAAATGGTTCAAAGCTGGAGATAAAGCACTAATATGATAAAGTATTTAACAAGCAGACATAATAGAGAGCAAGTGCAGAAATAGCAGCAAATTCAGCCTTCTCATATCATGGCTTTGTGCTGTTCAGAAGTCCTGTACCTCGGCAGGTCAGCAGTTGTGACCTTGGTGGTTTTTACAGAAGTGGTTCACCATGGCAACGGTTGGTCAGCAGCCCTCAGACACCCCCGCACCCCTCATCACTCCCCAGCTGCCTCTCTGCCCATTTGATTGGACACACAATTGAAATGTCATGCCTCAGCAACACACACGCACACGCGCCCGATCAGCCAGCCTGAAAAGCAGGTCACTTTGTACAAGTCCAAATAAGAGAATTCAAAGACAAAAGTGGCACACTCAGAGGAGAGGAGGGCTTTTAGCAGG